CCTGGCCCAGCCCAGGGCTGGGGACCTTCCTTAAGACCAGATCCACCAACATGCAAGGATTCTGTTTTCCTGGTAGCTGGATTAGGGTGTTGAGAAAAATAAGGAAACAGTGAAAACAGAAAATCCCCTAGGCAGACACCGAGCTTCCCCGGACATGACACTTCATTTTCTAAATTAGGCAGGGCTTTGGGGTTTTTCCAGAGATGCCAGCGGGCAAGAACTTGACTATGGGGCCAGATTTCCAAAAAGCCACTGACAGGGCAGGATGAAGACACCAGAATCAAAGATTAAGAGCTGGAAGAGACTTTACAGGACACTGAATCTGTCTCCCTCATTTCAGAAAGGGGAAACTGAGGCCCAGGGAGGTTAGCTGACTTGCCCCGCCCAGCTGGTAAGCATCTGAGGCATGATTCAAATCAAGACCTGACCCACTCTACCAAAGGGGTCCTTCCCCCAGTGACATGCACCTAGAGAACACTGACAAGCTAGACACCCCTACTCTAAGAAATAGCAAGACTCTGACAGCACTTTCTCTTTCTTGCTAAGTGAGATAATAATTGATCTGTTTATGGAGCTTATTTATTAACATGCCCCACACTGTTAAGACCCATTCAGATCAGGGTATGTTCTCACACAGGGATGGATCTGTGGTCTCATGGATGTGGACGCTGTATCCCAAAGATACCCAAGCCTCGTCACCCCATGCATCTCCTATAGATGATGCTCAAGGGTCCGCCCAAAACACAGCCTGGGTCCTCCTTGCTGTCTCACGAGCAACCGTCCCACACCGCCAGCTGCCTAGTGGACAGCCTGCAGGCACCGCACATTCAACGCGAAAAGAACTCAGCTCGTCACCTTCCCTCCCAAACCTTCCCCTCTTCCGCACTCTGCCTTCCTGTCAAAGGCCCCTCCATCACCTTGGTGTCCAAACTGACCCCTCAACTGTCCCTCACCCCTCATTTCTAATCAGCTGCCAAACAACTTTGAAAGACGTTAAGAATTCTAATCAAAGCAACAATCCCCATGATTCCAAATGTTGAAACACGCCACCCATCTCCGGACAAAGAGGTGACGGACACAGGCTGCAGAGTGAGATACGAGGTTTTGGGACAGCACCAATGTGGGGATTTGTTTTGCACCACCGTGCCTATTTGTTGCATGGGTTTTGTTTTTCTTTTTCTTTTTTTTCTTTTCCAATGGAAGTAAGAGATGAGAGGGGGAAATACATTTTTGCTATTTTTAATATTAAATTTTTAAAAATATCCATGCTACATTGTACACAGTAACAGCAACATTGTATGATGCATCAACTGTGAATGACTTAGCTCCTCTCAGCAATACAATGACTCAAGACAATGACAAAGGACTCCTGATGAAAAAGGATATCCATTCCCAGAGAAAGAACTGATGGAGTCTGAATGCAGATCAAAGCACACATTAAAATTTTTTTCTTGGTTTTTTTTTTTGGTCTGTGTTCTCTTTTGCAACATGGCTAATATGGAAACGTTTTGCATGACTGCCCATATATAGTCTATATCAAATTGCTTGCCTTCTCTGGGAGAGGAAAGGGAGACAGGGAGGGAGAGAATTTGGAACTCAAAATTTTTTTTAATGTTAAAAATTGTTTATATATGTTAATTGGAAAAAATAAAATATTTAAATATATACATACACACATATATATATATACCTATACACACACACACACACACACACACACACACACACATATATACATATTAGGATCACAGATTTGGAGGTCAAAAGCCATTGTTTTCCACTATACCCCAGACATCTTTATCCCTTGCTCTCACCTACATATATTCCATAATTATGCATATACACACGTGGTACTCTCACATTAGTAATAATAACAACTCCACGATTTCATGGGTTATGGGGAATTCCCAGTATGGAAAACACCCTCCACTGATGCATGAGGACCACTTGCTCTATAACTTTTTGTTTTCTTTGGTTGGACCTGTGGTTTCACTCCCATGGTGGGGTGATAGTGTATTTTCCACCTTGTGGTCTTAGAGAATGGCTTGGGGTTCAGAGATAAGTGTGATGTGACCAGGGTCACAGAGACAGTATGTATGTGACTTAGACCTAAGCAGCTACTCTGAAGCCTGATGCCTTCTATCAGTTACAATAAGCTTCCTCATCTATAAAATGCAGACAATGCTAGCATGGACCTTAGAAGCTGAGATGAAATGGCAAAGTCCTTACGTCACCACGTAAATGTAAGCTGGTGTCATTGTTGCTGACGTTAAAAAGGCAGTATAGCCTGGTGGACTGAGTGAGGGCTGGTCTTATACAACAGAAGGGACGGTCTAGTCTAGGGATGGGGAACCCACAGCCTCGGGGCTACATGTGGCCAAATCCTAACTTGGATTCAGTCAAAGGGGAGGAAAGAAGGCAGATTTTGGCTAATTTTTAAAAAACAAAGCTTAATTTTGAAAAATATCACCCCTCCCAGTAAGGATGGTTTCAGTCTCTGCACGCCTATCCCTAACACCTGGCCTGGTGCTGGGCATACAGTAGCTCATTAATAAGTATTTGCTGACTGGTAGATTTTAGGATGAGGAAATGGAGGCTCAACAGTGAAGTGACAGGTCCAAAGATCTCCCGTCTAGTCTAGGTCAGGGGCAACACGGAGCCCAGTAGACATACTCAGTGCATGCTGATGGCATCACCCTGGGCAGGTCACCAGCCCCCTGGGGGGAGGGGTCCCATAAGATTACATAAAAATGCTAACAAATGAACAAAATTAACCAAGCAGTATTCAATGCCATACCAATCAAACTACCAAAAAATTATTATATAGAGCTAGAAAAAAGAATAACAAGATTCACCTGGAAGACCAAAAGGTCCAGAATATCAAGGCAACTAATGAAAAGAAACGCTAGGGAAAGTGGCCTAGCCGTACCAGATCTCAAATTGTACTATAAAGCAGAATCATCAAAACTACTTGGTACTGGCTAAGAAATAGAGCGGTGGATCGGTGGAATAGGTTAGGTACACAAGGCACAGTAGTCAATGACTACAGTAATCTACTATTGATAAACCCAAAGACCCCAGCTTCTGGGATAAGAACTCACTGTTTGACAAAAACTGCTGGGAAAACTGGAAAAGAGTATGGCAGAAACGAGGCATAGACCCAAATCTTACACCATATACCAAAATAAAGTCCAAATGGGTATACAATTTAGATATAAAGGCTGATATTGTAAGCAAACTGGGAGAACAAGGAATAGTTTACCTGTCAGATTTATGGAGAACAGAAGAATGTATGACCAAACAAGAGACAGAGAACATTATGAAATGCAAAGTGGTTAATTTTGATTACATTAAATTGAAAAGTCTGTGCACCAACAAAGCCAATACATCCAAGATCAGGAGGGAAGCAGAAAACTGGGAAAGAATTTTTACAACCAGTGTCTCTGATAAAGGCCTCATTTCTAAAATATACAGAGAACTGAGTCAAATTTATAAGATACAAGTCATTCCAAAACTGACAAATGGTCAAAGGATATGAACAGGCAGTTTTCAGAGGAAGAAATTAAAGCTATCTATAGTCATAAGAAAAAATGCTCTAAATCACTATGGATTAGATAAATGCAAATCAAAATGACTTTGAGGTATCACATCACACCTATCAGACTGGCCAACAAGACAAAACAGAACAATGATAAATGTTGGAGAAGATGTGGAACACTAATGCATTGTTGGTGGAGTTGTGAACTGATCCAACCATTCTGGAGAGCAATGTGGAACGATGCCCAAAGGGCTATAAAAATGTGCACACCCTTACACCCAGCAATAGCACTTCTAGGTCTGTGTGTCCCGAAGAGATCACACAAATGGGAAAAGGACCCACATGCACAAAAACATTTATAGCAGCTCTTTTTGTGGTGGCAAAGAATTGGAAACTGAGGGAATACCCACTAATTGGGGAAGGGCCAAACAAGTTGTGGTATATGAATGTAATGGAATGCCATTGTGCTATAAGAAATGATGAGCAGGCAGATTTCAGTAAAACCTGGAAAGACAAGAACAGATGCAGAATGAAGTGAGCAGGACCAGGAGAACGTTGTATACTGTTAACAAGCAACAGTGTAAGAATGACTGACTTTGATAGACTTGGCTCTTCTCAGCAATACAAGCATCTAAGACACCTCCACAAGTTGCATGATGGAAGATGCTGTCCACGTGCAGAGAAAGAACCACGGAGTCTGAATGCAGATCGAAGCAGGCTATTTGCTCTTTTTCTTTTTCTGTTGTGTTTTGTTTCCTCTTTGTGGTGGTTCCTCCTATTGGTTCTAATTCTTCTTCACAACATCACTAATGTGAAAGTGTTTAATAGGAACGTATCCCTATAGCCTCTACCAGATTGTGCACCGTCTAGGGGAGGAAGGGGGGAGGGAGGAGGTGAAAATTTTAAAACGCAAAAGCTTATGGAAGTGATTGTTGATAAATCAAAATAAATTAATTTTTAAAAAATTAACCAAGCAGGCACCCGAGACAAAGCCACGGAGCGTGGCACCGCAAAGGGCCGGAGCTGGGCAGTGTCCACACTGGTCTGGGGCGGGGGGTGGGGGGCGCCATGAAGGGCTCCGGGGTTTGGAAGGGAAAGAGGGGGGTGGGAGGCGGGGGCAAAAAAGGAAAAAGCCGGTGTTGCTGAGTCACAAACACGCCCTGCCCCCACCCCAGCACAGCGGCCCACGCGGGGACGGGGACACGGCCGGACACGCACACCCCAGGGACCGTACGCTGCCTTCCTCGGTCTCCCCAGCACTTAACTCAGTGCGGGGCACATAGTAGGAGCTTAATAAACGGGAGAAACGCACACGCACGCAAGCCCAGAAATGCACGCGCACACACGCACAAATGGACGTGTGCACCTACACGCATGCACACACACGCGGACACAATCCACCTTCCTCCCCCAGCCCGGGCCTCCCTCTCCTCCTCCCACGCGCGCGGGCCTGCCCACTCACACTTCCATCTTGGCTCCTCCTCCTCCTCCCCGCTCTCCCACGACCCCGGAATCCGCGTTCCACGCCGAGCTGCAGGCAGCGGGGCGGCCGGAGGCGGGGCAGGGCTCCCGGTTCACGTCACGGAGCCGCCCACCCTCCGCGCGCGCGCGCGCACGCACGCAGGGACCGCCTCCGGATGCACGCCGCGCGCTCACTTGGCTACGAGCCCCCCCCCCTCCCCCGCCTGCAGTGCGCAGCCCCCTAGCTGTGGCCGCGGGGATGGGAGCTCAGGGAGGAAGTAACAGGGGAACGCCTTCGGCCTTCTTGCCTTTGCTACGGGGTCTGCAGACTTGGCTGCATTTTAAAGTGCAAGCTCCATGAGGACAGGGACTGACTCTCTTTTGCTTTCCAAGCCCCTAGTTGGAGCTGAATCAATCCTGCATTGCTTCTAGACCAAGATGCCCGGTGGAACCCGGCACACAGTATCAATCAATTAACATTTATTAAGCGTCTTCCCTGGGCCAGGAGCTGTGCTGAACTGCTAGGGATCATTGTTGTTTGTCCTTCATTCTTGAAGGTGACACCATGACATGCAAGTGACTGGCTTTAAGTGAGGCAGGACTGTGCAGTCACCAGCCTCACTTTCTCCTTCAGAGCCTCTCCATCCAGTGGCAAGATATAGATCAGGACGACCGCAGACGGCCCTGGATGCAGTGGGAGGCCTTGGCCTTTTCAAGCTAAGGTCTTTGCCAGGTCTCAGTTTGACTGAGGCAACACCCGTTCAGTGATTCAGGCTAGGTAAGAAATGAGGCAGAGCATGGCCTCTTTTCACCTAGTCCAAAAAAAAAATCAAACAGAAACAATTGCTATTTACATTCCCTCTGAGAAATCAAGATCCAACAGTGACCAAGTCGGGATTGGGATACAGGAAGAGGCAAAAGACAGTCCCTGCCCTCAAGGAGCTTAGGGTAGCTTCTTATTAAGTGCACATTAGTGGATTGGGCTTCACACTCCAGTACTTTGCACTAGTGGGGGGGGGAGATGGAGATAGTAGGTACTTAATGTTTGTGACCAAGTGTTTATTAAGCACCTAGTTTTCTTGCAGGCCCAAGATACCAAGACAAAGAAGGAAAGCATCCCTACTCTTAATGACTTGGTCGATTAACACTAGAAGGTGGAAAGGAATTGGGTCAGGAAAGAAAGGAGAAAACATTGACTTCAGTGGGGTGGGATGGGCGGGTAGACTTGGATTCAAAGCATGCAAAACACTTCACATACACAATCTCATCCAATGAGGTAGGATGTTATCATCCCTTTTTTACAGATAGGGAAACTGAGGCTCCGGAAGGCTAACCATCTTGCTCAATGTCACAAAGCTATAAGTGTCAGAGGCAAGATTTAAACCCAGGTTTCCTGGCTCCAAATGCAGTGTATTTATAATAGTAATAATAATAACAATAGGGACAGCTGGTGGCACAGTGGATAGAGCGCTAGGTCTGGTGTCAAGACCTGAATTCAAATGCAACCTCAGATGCTTACTAGCTGTGTAATTCTGGGCAAGTCACTGAATCTCTTTCTGCCTCAGTTTCTTTAACTGTAGAAAATACGGATAATAAAATTGCTTGCCTTCTCAATGAGGGAGGTGGGGAGAGAGGGAGAGAATTTGGAACTCCAAATTTTTAAAAATATTGAAAATTGTTTTTACATGTCATTGGGGGAAAAATAATAAATCATAATTAAAAAGAAAAAACAAAATAGGAGTAATAATGGCACTGACCCTGAATGGTTTTAGCACAGTATGGACACTATGTAAATACTTCTTCCCTTTCCAACCACTCCTTTAGTAATAATTGCTAGCATGTGGTGCTTTGAGGTTCGAAGGAAGAGCTCATTACAAATATTATCTCATTTGATCCTCATAACAACCCAAGGAGGGCTGACAAGACAGAGAAAGATGAAGCTTTACCTGCCCTCAGGGAGTTCACCTTCTATTGGAGTAAAAGCTGGTACAAAGATGAGTAAATATAAAACAATTGGGGGAGGGGGGATGAAGAAAAGCTTCCTTTAAGAAGTGGCTCATGGGCTCTGTCTGGAAGAGATCTTGGGATTCCCAGGAGGGAGGAGTGAGCAGGGACAGTTTTTCTGGACTGAGTATAGACTCTACCCAAAGATAAGACGGGAGGTCAAGTTTAGGAGGAAGCAGTATAGTTTGGGTATGTGGCCGAGGAGCAAAATGAAATCAGTCTGGAAGGTTCCATAGAGAGCAGATTGAGGTCTTTGGCATGGGGATTGGAAAGGACTTTGAATGCTAAATTGCAAGTTTGGATTTTTTCCTAGAAACAAGAGGGAGCCACTGTGACTTCTTGAGCGTGGGGTGGCATCGAGGACATCAATTTGGCATCAATGCAAAGGACAGGTTGGAGAGAAGAGGACCAATTACGAGGCTTATTGTAACGTCATAATCAGCTGAGTCAGGTCCGTGACAACTCAGAAGAAACAAGTCCCCAGGAAGGGACAGGCTGAAACTGACCGACTGACCTCCAGTGACACCTTGTAGATGGTGTAATAACCTAAGGGCGTTTCACCGCATTGTCACCCCAGTGTGTGCACAGGGAGTTCAAAGACATGACCCCTGCCCTCTCAGCTTAAGTGTACCAGGCTGGCTCTGAGGTCAGTGGTTCTGGCACAGGAGAGGGACCAAAGCCAAAGCCCAGGCCAGGCAGATGAATGCACCTGGTATTCTCAGTGGCTATACTGCTGGTGGTTTTGCATGCGATCCTAGCCGATGGCAACTTCCAGAAGTCTTACAGAAAAAAATGTCGAGCGGGGCAGAATCTTGGACCGTGTCAAGACCATGGCTGAAGCTGGGCAAAGATATAGCATGGGAGGGCAACGTGGCATGGGGGAAAAGAACCCTGGATTTTGAGTCACAGCACCTGGGTTCAAATTCCTGGTCGGAAGTGGTCTATATCTGTATAATCTTGAGAAAGCCCCCTAAGCTCTCTATGCCTCAGTTTCCCCATCTGTAAAATGTGAGGGTGGACCTCTGAGGTCCCTCGCAGCTCTGGATCTGGGTTCCGAGAGGGTGGTGGGGTAGGGTCCAGCACCATTTAGATGGGGAGGGTGGAAGAGAGGCACAGCAGACAGGAGCCGGTGGAGAGATGACATGGACGCAGGAGACATTTTACAGGCCAGGCTGAGAGCTCTCCAGATGGGGAAGTCAGACACCCAAGCTGGCAGCCAGATTTCATCACCATCCAGGATCAACAGTTGGCCACACAAATATGGGAGGCTCCGGGTGACGCCTGGGGACAAGAGGCTACCCACTGGAAGGGCAGGTAAAGCCGCTAGCCCCACCTCCACGCAGTGAAGGCCTTGATTGGTGCAGCTCCCAGAGGAGGTGGGGCCTAGGAGTGGGGACCTGGTGACGTCGTCCTCATCGGGAAGGAAAAGCCTTGGCGGAGGGGCTGGGGTCTGGGCAGAAGCTGTTGCATCAGGTGAGTCCGGGCTCCTGTCCGCACCCTCCTGGAAGGGGGTGTGGCGCTGGGCAGCAGCGTGATGCCCTACCCCGTCCTGGCACGCCTGGCCGGAGCTTGGAGCTCACGGGTGGCCAGGGGACAAGAACCCGGAGGGCAGCCACGTCCTGCCCTGGGCACGGGGTGGACGGTGGGCTGCCAGGGTGGGGAATGCGGCCGTGTCCCTATTCTGGGCACGGGGTGGATGATTGATTGCAAGGGAATGGCTGGGACCCCGCTATGGGCATGGGGGGGGTGCTGCCAGGGGGACAGCTAACCCACGCCATCCATGTCATACTTTCCAGATTATCCAAGATCTGAGATCAGCCAAGGGGAAAAGGACTTGTCCAAAATGGCATCAGAGGTGAGCCGTCTCTCTGCTTCATCTAAGACACCTCTAGCTCCACCTGCTTCCCTGGCGCTCCATCCCCTCCCCCCGGAAGGTTCACCTCGTACCTAAACTTCTCTCCTAGGAAAATGCCGAAGATCACTTTTGGGGAGGGGGGTACAGGAGGAGGGCCTCCCAGAAAAGGTGAGTGAGAGAAGGAGGTGGCCCTTTCTTCTTGCCTCCTGTCCCTAGCTCCATGCTCTCCCACTTTCCCTCCCTTTCCAGATCGCAATGAGATGCTTTTATTCCTGAGGTCTGGCAAAGCAGTGGCCACCTTACTCCTTCCCCCCTTCCTCCTCTCCTATTGATTCTCTACCCTATACTCTCCCTTGTTAAGAGACAGCCCCCTTGTATGTGAAAACTCTCACAATATACCACTTGGGGAATGGAGCCAGCCCTGGCATTGCTTACACAGTCCCTCCCTACATCGCACTTTGCTCTTTTACCATATTGCCCAAATCTTGTGGCCCCAATACCCAATGGAGCCAAAAATTGTCTGTGGAATGGCTCTCTGGGGGATGGGGAGGGAAAGAGGGAGTAGGAGGAAATAGCACCGTACATTAAAGATTAACCATGCCTGCCCTCTGCCTCCCCCCCCCATAGTAGCCAAAAGGGCCCTTGCTCCATTTCCAATGCTTACTTACTACCTGTGTGACCTTGAACAAGTCATTTCTCCCTAAGCCCTGTGTCAAATGAGCTGGCCTTGGAGGCCACTTGCAGCTCTAAATCTATCATCTTCTCAGCTAGGTTCAAACACTGCCTCTGCCAGTCACATTGGACAAACCTCCCATCCTGCCCCAGCCCCAGTCAGTGGAGGGGCTTCTCCTTGCATGATTTCTCAATCCCATGATGCTTTTTATGCCTCCTCTTTTCATGCCCCATCTTTCTTTGGCAGATACACAGGCCCTTCGATGCCTTTTCAGGGTTCCTTATTCAAGTTCTGAGACTTCCTTTGGCCCCAGACCCCTAAAGTTTTTCTTGTCTTCTAAATCCATCTAGCCACTGCTAATTTTTAGGGAAATCCAATGAGGAGGGAGGGTGGGGAGGAGGATGTTTTTAAGAATCCAATAGGGTCAAAGTGCAGAGTGGGATGGGGAAAGGGGGGGAGGGGAGTCAGCAAACAGGGCAGAAACCACTTGGACCATTGTCTCAATTCATTCTGCAGCCTGAGGGCCAGGGACTGGGAGGTGAGGATCCTGGGTCCTGTTCCTGGCCACTCAGGGGCACTCAGTCTAAGACAGATGACCTGACCTCCCTTGATTTATCTGTCAAATGGGAA